TATCCAGTCCTTTAAAGATATGATGGCCATCACTAACCCCACTTTTGAAGATACCATGGCCGCTGAAACTGGATTCAATGACATTAATTTGTGGTTAGAATGGATGAGGTATAATGCTAACAAACATAATAAAACAGCATGTTATGTATGTGGCGGTGCCCGACCCCAACCTGGCACCGTCCCCCTAACTCTCCCTTTAGAGATAGAAGATTGCTTCTTAAGCCTTTTTGCCTACCAATATGACTTTAATAGGTCCCTCTGCATGGCATGGACGGCAGAATACCCTCTCTTAGTTGAAAATGTTAAGCCACCAGATGGAGTCACAGTCTATAGAGGTAATTACACTTGTTATGCTATGTATGACGGGATTGGTAAATTCATGGGTAACTTTTCTAAAGGTTATTGCGCCACTTACAGAACTGTTCCTATACGCCTGTTGCAACACCATACCAGGTCATTGGGGGATATTTACTGGTTATGTGGGGATCTACAGTTAAGATCTAGGCTGGAAACCGAGTGGTGGGGTGAGTGTACCCTGGCCAAAGTTATCATGCCCATTCATATTATTTCTGATAATCATCATGACACATACGACCCTCCACATACATCAGCCAGAGTAAGGCGCGAAACCCCAGTAAAAGGCAGTTTTGACCCCCACATTTACATAGATGCCATTGGGGTGCCTAGGGGGTACCTAATGAATTTAAAGCTAGAGATGAAGTAGCTGTAGGTTTTGAATCACTTTTTACCATAGTCACTGCCAACAAAAACCTTAATTGGATTAATTATATCTATTACAACCAACAGCGCTTCGTGAACTACACCAGGGATGCCCTCCAGGGCTTGGCCGAGCAATTACAGGCCACATCCCAAATGACCTTCGAGAACAGACTGGCCTTAGACATGATCTTAGCCGAAAAAGGGGGGTCTGTAAAATACTTCCCGACACTATGACTTGTTGCACTTACATTCCAGAAAACACAGGTCCTAATGGTAAAGTCACTCTGGCCATAGCTAAATTAAATAGACTCTCAGAAGAGTTAAAGAGAAACTCTGGAGGTACTGATCCCTGGGAAAAATGGTTTGGTTGGATGACTGGTTGGCAGAGAGCTTTAGTCCAGATTGGTATTGCCTTACTAATTTTTCTTTTTATTCTCGCTCTTCTCATTTGTTGTGTCCTCCCATGCCTAAGGAAATTCCTGCAGAAAACTGTAGACCAAGCAACACCAACCTTCACTCATCTGACAATCGATGATCAAGATCTCATCTCACCCTGTATTCCGCTACAAACTCTCCCGTATACTGATGAAGTGCAGAAAGTCTAGGAAGGGACAGTACAGGGACAGCGTCCGTCTTTATGGGTAGACTGCCGTACGGAGAAGTAGTGGATAAGCCACTATGGGTTACCAGCGGAGTGAAGAGTGTTCCTGAACCGTACTGACGGATGTGCTGCAGCCTGTTAGGGTTAAGAGAGGGATAGACTTGCACTTTGCATTAACACTAAGTCAGCGGTCATGGGGTTTCTGTGTCTTTGGGCTAATACTTCTTCTGATACTAACAAATAAAGTTTTGTCTTTTAGCAAATAACATTTTAGGGGGGACTGTTGTAGAATTATTAGGCCTCTATAAATTTGTAAGGCCCCTTTAAATCCTCTTGCTATACCTCTAAGAGGCCCCCATAGTTTTACAAGGAAGCTTTGTCTATAGAACATAGAATTTGCATGTCAGCAAGAAATAGCTTTGATAAAATGTGTATTTACTAAAATCCTTGAAACTTAACCTTGAGAAACTAACAAGTGCCAGCTACACTCCAAATGGATAGCTGCCAAAAGGCCCCTCCCGTCGAGTGAGCTCCTCATTTTAACAAAATGGCGCTAAAACCTGTAGGAGTTAAGAAATTACGTAGATAGTGACCTAAGAATGGGGAGGGCATTTTACTAACATCTTAGCACCTAAGCCAATTAACAATGTCTATTTGTCTATATCTTGATTTTCTTCAATGATGTAATAATACCTTTATAAGGGTCTGCGCACCCATTTTCTGTCAGAAGCCATTAAACTTCTCTGAAGTTCTTTCATTACCCTGAACCTTGTGTCTCAGTGTGAATTTACTTCTGCGTGCACGCAACTTTATTATCTTTAATTTGGACAGGAACAGATAGTCATTCAAACTAATTGGTTTGCAGTAAATTATCTAGAACAGTCATACTCATATGTAGAATGCCATAAATGGATATGACAGATCGAGGCTGCATAAGTTGCATATGTGTGACTTTATACATCCCTGTAATCTCTGTATGAGGGACCTTTCACAGAAATCTGTGTAGGAGATTGGCACAGTTTCCCATCAATTGACACCCTTTTATCTGATCACACAGTCATGTGCAAATACCTGCACATAAAGGACCACTCTAGGCACCCAGACCACTTCAGCTTAATGAAGTGGTCTGGGTGCCAGGTCCTTCTAGGGTTAACCCATTTTTTCATATTCTGGCAGCGTCGTGAGAAACTGCTATAATGGCGAAATGCAAGTTAAGTTTTCCTCTAATTCCTCTAGTGCTTCGTCTCTATTGACAGCCACTTTCAGAGGCGCTATATGCTTCTCACTGTGATTTCACAGTGAGCATGCGCTGCTGCTAGCTTCCTTTGCCGCTACAAGTGTAAGTGATTCAGGGCCGGGCGGGCGGATCGGAGGCGAGAGTGAGGAGGAGAGCTTCCCCCAGCGCTGGAAAAAGGTAAGTTTAAACCCCTTTCCCCTTTCCAGAGCCGGGCGGGAGGGGGACCCTGAGGGCGGGGGCACCCTCAGGGCACTATAGTGCCAGGAAAACGAGTATGTTTTCCTGGCACTATAGTGGTCCTATAAGAAGTGTTCATCAGAGTCTGGCAGCCTGGCTGGCCCCAACTGGTAACTGTTGACAGAGCATTCAGTGCAGATGCAAAACATGTTCTGTTCCCTCAGACTTCCCTCAGACCCCCACTTTCTGTGCATAGTTTGTTAGTTTTTACTGTCTATCTGCTGATGTTGCTGCATGTTTTCATTTAGATGGATAACAAGTAAAGACAAGATCTATTTACAGGGACACTATAGTCACCCAGACCACTTCAGCTCAATTAAGTGGTCTGGGTGCCAGGTCCCTCAGGTTTTAACCCTTCAGATGCAAACATACCAGTTTCAGAGAAACTGCTATGTTTACATTTGGGGTTAAGCCAACCTCTAGTGGCTGTCTTCCAGACAGCCACTAGAGGCGCATCTGCGATGCTGGAGGCATATTATGCCTCCATCGCGCAGAGCGTCCATATAAAAGCATTGAGAAATGCTTTCCTATGGACACTTTGAATGGGCATGCGGCACTTGCCGCGCATGCGCATTCGGCTCCAGTGACTACAGCAGAGGGAGCTGACGTCGGCAGGGATGGAGAGGTCACCAGCGCCGAGGGAGCACCGCGCTGGAATAAGGTAAGCTGCTGAAGAGTTTTAAACCCCTTCAGCGCCACAGGAGGGGGACCCTGAGGGTGGGGGCTCCCTCAGGGCACTATAGTGCAAGGAAAGCCGCTTTGTTTTCCTGACACTATAGTGATCCTTTTAACACTTTTAACCCAGCATTTTTATATAGGTTAAACACATTTCTAGTGACTGTCTTCCTTACAGCCTCTAGAAGCGATACCACTGCACTGACCAAGTAAAACTTGGTCACAGAATGCAAAGGCTCATAGCAAAGCATTGCATACAATGCTTCCTGTGGGGTAGCATCGATGTGCAGGTGGCTCTCAACGTATATGTGTTTCAAGTCCTTGATGCTCCTATAAAGATTAATTCTACTTTAAGTACTAAATTTTCCTTTATGAGGAGCATTTGATTGGACCATCACAGAGGAGTTATCACCTTTGTCACGGCAAGGGTGTATAATTTATTATTACACTATGGAATATCATCTTTTAATGTAATTTGTGTAGTAAATGGCACAAATTACAGAGATGCTATTGCTGAGGTCAACAGGGGTTACATCTTTTGAAGCTGGGACCCCCACAGAGGTCAGATGACAGAAGGGGTAGTGTGAATGGCATAGCAATGTGAAAAGGATTTTACTATATGGATGTGAAGTCTGCAAGGTGTGAGGTTCTACACTTGGGAAAAGTCTGAATGTCTCTTCATCCATTTGGCATGTACCTTGTAAGTGATGAGTAAATCTCTTTGATATGTAAATGCCATTAGCTTTGTTCTAGTATCATATCCAAAGGAAGGACAAAAAACATTCATATTTACCCCCACAGAATAATAATAAAGCCTCATTTTTGTTATATTTGGAATGTGACAAGCGCCATCTTCTAACCAAGTCCAAACATGAGTGGCCTAACTTGACCCTAGGGAAAGGAATTGTGATGTCCGTCCTATTGGATCGTGGGTGGGACGTGCAACATGTCTATGGAATGGGAAAATAATAACAAATTTGTAGATGCAATTATTATTTCTGTGGCAGGTACAAAAAAGAAGGTAGAGTCAAATGTTTCCATTTGGATTGACAGTGGTCTGGAACAAAGGAGGTGGTCGGTTATTATTACTGTAGGTATGCCTTAACTCCACCCCTGGGCAAGACCTGATAAACCACAGGGTATATATCTAATGATCCTGAAGGGTGTTTGTGTACTTGCTTGGGGCCAAGATCTAATTTTGAGTGAGTCACCATCTTTCCTTGCCAGAGACCCCCTGGACAGAAGTTGTACTTTGAAAAAACCTAAGTGAGTAATTAGGACTTCTGTATTTTATCCTTTTTGTTTTTATCTGTTGTTGGTGTAAATAATTTGTTTATCATATATTTTTATATGCACTGTGACTATCTTTTGCTCATAATAAACATTCATTTATTAAGTTTTGCCTTTGTCTGGTTAAGAATCACGTTACCTGAAGAGACTAGTTAGTATTTTTGCAATAACTTAAATATTGTACTAAGTAATATTTGGTGGGTTTTATTATTGATATACCTGGGGGGCCAAGGCACCCCATTTATAAATTGTCTTGGTAGTGGCAGCGTTAAAATAGTAATAGTTATATTATTATGTTTAAGTGTGGGTGGTTTTAAAAGGGGGATTTTGTCATTATTTCCGGTCTAGTGCAGACAAATAGTGAACTTTAACCCTTTCACCACCACAACTACGTCACACACACTCTTGGAGTAGGGTGTATTTGTGACAACCTTGATAGGTGAGGAATGCCACTGGAACAAGGTGAGCAAAACTTTTTTTTTTTTTAATCGATTTTTATGGGAAATGGAGGCGGGAACACCTGTCAAGAACTAGGGATAGGGGCACTACAGTTTTGGGAATAAACGTTTTTATTCCTTATGATATGTTTTTTTAATAAGCAAACTGTAGCAATACCATGTATCATATTCATTTTCATAATCTGGCAAAGAATATATCAAAGGTACCTTTAAAATTAAAAATGGCCTCAGTCGTTTCATTTAGTGCTTTGTTCCAAAACACACACTTTATATTTTGTGATGACTGTTTCTTGCATTTGATGGTACTTGATGTGTTATATAATCCATCTGAAGTCAGTATACGAGAAGTAACTGCTGGAGAACACATATTGACATATTTTGTCTGCCAATTCACTTCTGCCTCTGGGAAACCTAGAGACTGGCAAGTCAAAGACATTTCATTGCCATCACTGGATATCTCTGTATATCTGCTTATGTTTTCATATGAAGCTGCAATAGAAATCAGCAGAAAAGAAAATACAGCATTGTACAAAGATCTACTTGTAGCATTCCCTGTTAATATTATCGCACACGTGTTTAATTCACAAAATCCAGGTGGCCTTAAACAACAAATAAATTAAGAATAGCGACTGGCATTGAACATAACTAGACATTGTTGATGAAAGAGACAATACATTGAAGAGCAAAACAAAATGATCTATGGAAAATGTCACGGACGAGGTGTGCAAAATATTGACAAACTATAAGTGGGAGGTGGAAGAAATAATAGCATGTGGTGGATAAAAAAAGGAAGCATGAATTACTGGATTTAAATAGTTGGTGGGTTGGTGGCATATATGGGGTTGGGATGTCAAGTAGAAGTGATGACAAATGGGTCATTATATTATGAAAAATAGAAAATGAAAATGGAAGCAACTACATCATATGGACAGTGCATCATCACATGAAGAGGTGAAAATTATGAAATTGTTTGAATGTTTGATATATGGAAGTGAAGTTATGGAGATGTTGGCATGTAGGACTGTAGGGAAGGGAGTTAGGATTGGTGAAATTAAAAATGAATGTCATTAAAGATGGGCAGGCTCATTCTTTTTTGGAAGGTGGTCAAGCAATATGAAAACCATGCAAGATTAGAGATTGGCAATGAGGAGGACATGTGTGAAATCCTAATGACATGGAAGAAAGTTTAAATGCAGACAAGATTAGCAGCAAACACATATTTACTGAGTGGAACAGAAAATAGTAAAGTACGCATAATTA